TTGAGGACAAATCCTGAGTGCATGAACCAGTCTCTCAACTCATGCACACAAGTTAAATTCGGACTTGCGTTTCGATGGGGATTCAAACCCACACCAGAAATTTGGATACGATTCATCCAAACAATGAGGTCCATCCTATCAATCAACTACGATTTTTGTCGCCTAGGAAAATTGAACCTTTGATTTCAATAAGACAAAATTTTCACAAAACAAGAAATATCATTAGACCAAAGACCCGTTAATTTTTTTTTTTTATTATTATTTTTGTTAGCAATAAAAATTGAATTCCTTATATCTCCCTCCACTTAACTATGATTGGATCCGAATCATTCCACCCGATAGGGTTGTTATGAGTTTCATCCTAGACCATAAAATAATGAGAGATGATCAACTCAACTCCAACTTAATCTGTCTGGGCATTATTTTCTTTAACATTAGACGTGAGTCCATTGTCATACACTCAATTACATATTTAAATTTAGTAGTGATGCATATTAAATTGAAAGTGACAAAACTACCCTTACATTCAATTTCCTCTAAATTAAAGTAAATAGTACTCTTGTCAGTCTCATTTCAAATATTCTCATTTCGAACACCTATGATCAGGATTGATTGTAAACCAACTATTACTTGAATTGATTTGTCACGCAAATATTATCACTTGGCTACAACGTTGAGCGAGTATCGACTTATGTTATAATATTGACATAATCAATGGTATTGAGTTAAGTTGGACTAATATAATCCATTTCTATCGTTTAATATCCGAACCCCAATTAAAATTCAAACCCAAGTGAGAGAAAAAGGTTGATGTAGCAAATTAGGAGTCAAATCATTCCACCAGTAGGCAATTAAATGAAGATGGTCAAATATTTGAAAATATGGACATTTACTCAAGGGCAATCTCTTGGGATTAGATAACGAAAGATTTATCCCTCATAAATATTATAGTTTTAGCGTGGACCGAAACACAGATTAATCGATGTGTGCTTAAGCTAGTCGGGATGCCCCTAACCATTGAAACAAAAAAATAAAAAAATAAAAAAATATATTTTTACCAACTGATTTTTGGTCAAATGATACTCTTTACCTTGTAAAAATTTTACTTTTCTTAATAAGGTAAGGGTCCAAGTTCCCCTCCCCTTTCCCGAAAAAAAAAAGAAAAAAAGAAAAAAAATGGATATTTATTACAGATGCATTGGAGAGAGAGAGAGAGAGAAAAAAAATTTACTGGTCTGTGGTCAAATGATACTTCTTATCTTGTGAAAATTTTACTTTTCTTGATAAGGTAAGGATTCAAATCCCCCTCTCCCTTTACTTAAAAAACAGAAAAAAATGGATATTTAAGAGAGGGAGAGAGAGAGAATTTGAAGACGGTAAACTAAGCCCACAGGCCCATAAAAAACCCTTACATGCATGGGGAGCTTTTGCCCTATTTTAGCTTGTTTGATTTTTGTTTGTATGAACTACAATGTAATCTTACCAGTTTTTTTTTTTGATCATGGATAATCTTACAAGTTCAAGTTCAAGTTCAAGGTTTGATGACAACTCAAGCATCTTTGTCAACAACCATGGCCTTACTAAACTGTAGTCTTTGGGTAAATTAGGTTTCTGATTCTCTAAGTCTCCATCAAAACCCAATTCTTGCCTCAAGTTGTGGCAACTTAAATACATTGGTTGCCCTAAGTCTGCTATAACATCTATGGATGTGATATGACAGATCGAGAAGATAATAAATTTGGTTATGATTTTCATTCAATTGCTATGAGTAATATTAATGGCACAAGCAAACTTAAATGTAATCCATCCAATCTAAGCATTGTATCTAACTGCCCATAACTCTTACTCAATAGATAGATAGAATGGAAGGACTTTATGATAATTTAAGTAGTAATAGGGACGAGATATAAATATAAATATCTTGAATTTGAATTTTAGTAACTTCTTGGGGCTAAGTCATAAGAGATTTATCCTTCATAAATACCCTAGTCTCAATGTAGATGACATGTTTTTGATCGAATCTAAGAGAAGATTAGTCGAGATGCGCATAAACTGACCCGGACACTTCTGACTATTGAATTAAAAAAAAAAGGGAAGGACTTCAGTTGGTTTTGCCGAAAACATTGAATTTAGGTTGAAAAAACCATTCATTTTCTATGTGTGCTTCTGTGTGAAACTTCATAACCAACTTAGTAGGAAGGTTGGCACATTCACCACCTAATGGGAAAGAAGATAGATGATAATCACAGGCCTTACAGCCCAGTAGTAATGTTGACTTATGTTCTTATTAAGGTTGGTTCTAGATAGTGCATCAACTGAGGCTGGGCGTGAGGTATCCACTTGCCAAATAGGCGTACAAACGAAACAAATTGTTTATGAACGATTCAGACTGGAGTTGGTTCATATTCATATTCATTTATAAAATAATAAAGTGAGCTTGCGCTCAATTTTAAAGTTTGTTTAATGATAGTGCGAGCCTAAAGAATATAATAAAATTCAGATTCTTTTCATTAATTCAGATTGTGTCGGGCCTAAATACATATAGTGAAATACCATTTATTAATGGGTCCCTCATCTATTCACGGTGGATGATCTACCACTAAGTGAAATTAAGGGAAAGTGTAATGGAAACGGTCTAAATCCAATATTATATTGTTTAGGTCGTTAGGCTCGTAAACTAATTATTCTCATTTATAAATCATAATATATTCATCAAAACAACTCCTACCCGAGCTTGAACAGTGTGGTGGCTTGGGTAGATTATATTTGGTTCATTTTTAAACCTATTGTCAATGGCTGTTCCATCCAAGTTCAACTCTTTCAGAATAACTTCGATTTATCAGATGCGGCTAGTTTGTTAGTGATTCAATATTTGCAACAATCCCACGAGTCGCAATCGGTTCGCTGCCTTCGGTGTCAAACTTCATAGTCATCGTACTGGGGTGGTTGGTTGGCACAGTCACCCCTTAATGTGAAAAAGGCTGGACGATACACACAATCTGATCGCCTAGTTGTACCATTAAGTCATTGAGAAGTAGTTGTTTTCGAAATGTTCACATCTTAGCAATAGTAAATATAGCAGACTAACAACTATGAGATTATGTTTTTGAATTTGATGGCATGAATATCTATGTGGAGTGGTTTTTGGGTCAAGGTAGGGCTTTCTTGGGAGGTTCCCTTTATGTCCATTTAGGTAATTTTTATTTTGACGATTAATCGTGATTGGTGTAATGAATTCCAAAAACGTCTTTATCGTCAGCTGTCTTCAGATCAATTAGCATTTAATGGTCAGTTCAGATACCTTGACTAGGTCGACAAGTCTAATTTTTTAAATCAAGAGAAGCGCGTTCGTACAAATTGTACTCATCTCACACAACATGTACAAATCCATTGTAATAGGCTAAGTTCAAACGAAAAGTTGTGAAAATTAGAAGTTAGTACAATCTACACATCTTTAATGGTAATAAGAACAAGCTTAAACATTTTAATGCTTTAAGGACAAATTTAATGATCTTTTATCTCATCTGGTCCAAATTAGGCGTGCTAAAATTTAATTTTTTTATTTACATTTTTGCCCTTCAAGTCTTTAACGTCTATTTTTCGCTATTTTCTCATTGATTTTTGGTGAAATCTTATTCAATATATGTTATAAATTTGATCACATTTTCAAGATTTCCTTATTCGATCAAGTTGAGATTTTCTTAATTCTTAAACGTCTTTTACAGCTATGCTTTGAGATCTCATATTCTATATTTCTAATGCATCAAAAAAATTCATCTTTTGATATATCAATAGAAAGTAGATATTTTCCCTTCGTTTTTATAATTATTTGTTATGCTTTTTCAAGATTACGTGTTCTAGATTTCTGATGAATTTATTTGAATCATTATATGTCGATTCGATAGTAGAAGATGCTTTGTTCTTCATGACGAAGCTCTTGATTATGATTTTACTTTCTTCAAACCCCTTATGCATTTTTTTTCTTTGTTTTTTGATTCATGTATTTGTGTGGATCATCACGTGAAGTTCTATATGTTTTAGTTCACAGTGACAAATCAAATTTTTTTGTACTCAATTTTCAGTTTTTTTTTCGAATATTTGCTATGATGGACTTTCTTTATCGTCGTCATTACTACCAATACCAATTAAGTATATAATGTTAAAAAAAATCATAAGGGTTTAATTTATAATGGAAATAAATAAGTTTTAATGACAGTGACGATTACAAATGTACAATGACACTAATAATGATAGTGATAGTAAAATGTCACTTTGTCCAACTTACAAACGACGATGATAAAGGTTAATGTTAAACATTTAATGTTACTATTGCACTGAAATTTTTTTTCTCAAAAATTCAAAACCTCTAAGTTCAATTCAAAAATGGTATTAAACACTTACTCTAACGACTGTAACAAACAAATTTTTCACAAAAATTCGACAGTGACTTTTGACCTATATTTCTTCGTGTTGTTGTTATGCAAATGTTCTCAACAATTTGTCCATGATTATTCTTCTGAAGAGTCGATTATGAAATAAATTGATTAATTTATGGAAGTTACTTGAAGATCTTGAGTTTTGAATTTCAAAATCATTGAAGGTTCGGATTGTGAGTTTCGATTTGAGAGTGAGTTTGTGCAAGTGTACTAAGTTTATGTCTTTAAATTGATTACGACCAAAGTCGTGGCTAATTCAACCAAAAAAGACGACCCTTATTCAAACCAAAAGAAAAGAAGTATCTCACCTCACTTACGAAGAAGGAGTTAGAGTTGGACTCCGAACTACGAGAGTTTGCTTTTGTGTTTTGAATGCTAACGTTAGAGATGAAACCACGTAAAGAAAGAAGGATAATTACTTCTTTCTCAGCCCAATATGTTTTGGAAATGTGGGCCTTCATGGTTGTAAGAAAAAGGAGCCTATACACCATCTTAATTACCAGTCGGTCCAGCCCAACCCGCTTGAGCCATATAAAAATATAAAAGCCAATGAGCCCTAACACTAACCCTAACCCCCCTCTCCAACTTCACTAGGGTTTCAGAACGAAGGCGGACCAACCTTCGTAAGAGTAGCTCGATTGCAATGGGTAAGCAATGGATTTCTTGATTTTTCATGATTTTGTGCTTTGTTATTGATTTTAATTAGTTCGTGCTCTGTGAAATTATGTTTGAAATGAATGAATTAACGGTGAATGATTACAACTACAGCAAGGATTAAGGTACATGAGCTCAGAATTAAGACGAAGGCAGATTTGTTGAGCCAGTTGAAGGATCTCAAGGCTGAACTCGCTCTTCTCCGAGTCGCCAAGGTCACCGGTGGTGCTCCTAACAAGCTCTCCAAGATGTACACACACTCTCTCTCTCTCTCTCACACACACACACACAGTTTTTGTGTATTGATTTGCATGTGTATATGTTATGATGCTTTGCATGTGTGGGTCTATAATTCTAGATCTTGATATCACACTTAGTTGGTTTATTAACTGTTAGTTGTGTGTCTTTATACAAACATAGGGACTCTTACATTCGAGCATATAGTAAGTTTATGTATTCTTATGTTTGATTGGGCTCCTTGGAGTTGATGGGCGGATTTCAAAACTTCTTTCTTGTAAAGCTACGTGCTTGCATGGTTTGGTTTGGTTTTGAAATTGATTCTTCTTTGTGTCTTTATCTCTTGCTCGTATTGAGGTGAGTTCTCTAGGCTTGTATTTGTATTGAGTATACGTATGTTTGAGTTTGTGAAATTTTAGACCTCAATTGGATTTGGTTTAATTGTTTAAAATGAGGAGCCTTTTCCCACAAATGCGTTTGTCTTTGTGCTTTATATAACATAACCATTGTTTGATTGGAACCATCACAACAGTTAAATAGCATTCTATGGACTTCACAATTGTAATTTGTGGTGGATTTTTACTATTATTCATAAGTTTTAGCATTTAGTGCAATGGGGCTAGTCAGTTTTGATAAGACAAGTTAACTAGTAAATGCACACTTAATCTTCAAGCATTTAGTCTGCTTATAGAAATCTCTACCTTGCCCTGTTTATCTGAATACATTTGATTAGAGTTGAGTCAATAGTGTTGTGTGTTGGTGATTTAAGTCTGATTTTGGCCTTTCTGTCTTATCTTATGCAGAAAAGTGGTGAGGCTGTCAATTGCTCAGGTGTTGACTGTGATTTCACAGAAACAGAAGGCTGCTCTTAGGGAAGCCTACAAGAATAAGAAATTCTTGCCTCTTGACTTGCGTCCCAAGAAGACCAGAGCGATTCGCAGGCGTCTTACCAAGCACCAGGTATCGTTTTAATCCTTCTCTTGCATATTTTTACTGGAATCTGTTCTCCAAGATGTTAAGCCAACACCTGATAAAGGAAGCCATGCAATGACATGACTGTTGTCTAGTAAGCTGTTCTGTGTTTAATCAATGTTGCTCGTTAGACTTTTGGTTCGAGTGCAGCCTATATGGTTGTCCTTTCATGTATGAAGACTCTTCCTAAAAGGTAATGGTACTTTCTTTGTTTCTATAGGCATCATTGAAGACAGAACGCGAGAAAAAGAGGGAGATGTACTTTCCCATGAGGAAATACGCCGTCAAGGTGTAGGAGAGTATCTATGGCCATGGAGATTTCGGCACTTTGCATCTATAAAGCTCATTCTACTGGTGGATTTTTAAATTTTGTTTACTTGTATTTTGAACTTTGGTGGTTGAATTTCTCCCAATGCTAAGAAGGTGCTATTAGTTTTAATTTGAAACTGCAACAGTGATTCGTAGGTATTTTTGGCTCTTGTTTATTGCTGGATGATGCTTGTCGTGTAATGTTTTTTTGGACATGATTTTGTTCCTTGGGAGAGGCAAATGGGCAATGCTAGCATTGCTTTTATATGTCGTATTCTCTCCTCTTTAGCTGGGTAATGGTTTAAGGTTCGTTTCCTTGAAGGTACTCGTTTGTTCTGAAGCCTAGCATTATCCCTACGCTAACTCGTTATGGATCGAGGGAGCATTATGGTTTGCATATATTTTCATCATAGATTTTCTGCTTCTGAAGCAATCAAAGAATCTAGTTTCAGTAAGGAGGAATGTAAGAAAAAAATTTCAATTGTTTAAATTATCTTCAATTATATTTTGATGTCAAGAATACAAAAAGTATAATTAAAATTTAAACAAGTAGATCTTAAGCTAATTTTGGGCCAAAGATCGATCTGAATTCAGATCTCCATGACTTGTGTGATTATATGGTTAACTTAACTCATATCAAGTTTTGTCCAAATTAATGACTAATTAAATATTTTAAGAGAAATAAGGATAAAACAGAAAGTTAGATTATAAATCACAATTTGCTTATTTTTTTTTTCAATAAAAAAAAATTGGTTACTTGTGAAAAAATTTAAAAATATAATAGTTTAGGGGATAATTTGGTTATTTTTTTAAAAAAAGTTGGTTATTTTTTCTATTATTGAGGGTATCATATAAAAATATAATAGTTTAGGGGATAATAAAAAAATGTCATAATTTTAGTGGTCCAAGTATAATTTTCTCATTCGGAAATTGTCACAACCTTACTTGGTCCTTTCCAAACACTTTCCTCCATTGTTTCTTTTAGTTCTTTATCTCGTGTCATCATTTTCCGCAGTCCACTTTGTGCAACCCAAAACCAAAACTTCCACAACTCTCTCTCTCTCATTCAATTTCCAGGGTTTGCACTCTGTCTCTCAGCTCAAGCATGGCTTCGCCTATAGAAGAAGGTACACACTCTCTTTCTGTTTTCTTTTGATTCTAAGATCACATGTTAAACCATCTCGCATGAAAACTTAAAACTATTACTAAAATTTGATTAAAAAAATAATAATAAAAACTTGATTTGATATAGACCTTTTTAACGAAGAAATTTAAATTTAAACGAAGAAAAATTTAAATTAAAAAAGTTAAAATATAACATTAAATTTTTAAAAGAGGGTGTACCATTAAAGATTTAGATTTAAGAAAAAGAACTTCCTTGATTTGTGTTTAAAAAAATGTTTCTTTTTATTTGGTATAAGTATGAGTCTAACGTACCAATTGAAGGAAACTTTTTTTAAACTCCAATAAAGGCGACTCAAATTCAATTTTTAATGACGAGATTACACCATTTTTTAAAAGATATAATGGTTATATTTTAACATTTTTTAAATTTGAATCTCTTTTCCATTAAATTTAATTTCTCAATTAGGAAAGTCTATACCAACTCAAATTTTTACCAGTTTCCATCGGAGATGGTGGTACATGCAATAGTCTCAGCTTATTTTCTCGGGACATACCCTTGTTGGAAAATTTTCTCAAGAAAAAATTGATTTGTTGCTGAAAAGAATATACTTTTCTGCAAGTTGGTGGAGAAGTTTATATTAAATATGCTCCAAAAGATTACTGCCCCCTCAAAAACGAGTTAAAAACTGAAATTTTCCTGGAAACAATTTTCTGTTGAAACAAACAGAACGAACAAGATTCATGGGTTATGTTTGTATAGAGTCTATAGACCTTAGCTGCAATATCGGTTATAATAGTGATTTTATGGGCAATTGATTCAATAGTTGGATTAGTGGAATCTTTGCTCTGCTAGGCGGATAAAAATGCTGGGAAAATTACCAGTAAGCTCTACTAGATGGATAAATAGTTTTTGGTAACTTTTCAAGAAACTGCTTTCTGTTGAAACAAGCAGAACAAATGAAATTATTTGTTTGAAATATTGATTAATGAGTAAATGATGTTATAGTAGGTGAAAGAGACTTAGAGAAAGGATTGCTCTCTCCAACAGCTTACCAAAACCCTCTCGCCGAGCAATCACCATCACCATCCTCAGCCCCTGCACCCGCTTTGGTTCTGTCAAATTCCGGAAACCGAATTGATCAATCCGGGAAAAAGAAATATGTGAAACAAGTGACGGGTCGGCACAATGACAGTGAGCTTCATTTAGCAGCTCAGAGAGGTGATCTTGCAGCAGTGAAACAGATTTTGGATGATATTGATTCTCAAATGGTGGGGACTTTTAGTGGAGCTGAGTTAGACCAAGAGGTTGCAGAGATTCGGGCATCAGTGGTGAATGATGTGAATGAATTGGGAGAGACGACACTGTATACTGCGGCAGATAAAGGGCATCTTGAGGTTGTGAAGGAGTTGTTGAGGTATTCAAATAAGGAGACACTTTCAAAGAAGAACCAGTGCGGGTTTGATCCATTGCATATCGCTGCTAGTCAAGGACACCATGGTAGTGATCTATTTTGTAAATTGTTCATCATTTATTTGCTTGACTTAGTTATTTTATTTCAGTTTATTTCTAAGTTACTGAGTTCATTGTTTTTCGCCTTTTGATTAAATAACTATGACATTGGATTATCTTGCTAGAATTTAGCTTATCGAGAGAGATTTGAGATTCTGTTAGTAACTCACTGAGTGCTTTCTAAGAAGGGCTTGACTTGAAAGAAGAAAATGAAATACAAACGTTGAACTTTCACCCGAGCTTGAGCGAGTACTCATCCATCGCACTTATGATGTAGGATAGGATATATCCCATTGGCGTTGGGTTTTGGTGGTAGGAGGAATCTCCATTGCCACCGCAATAGCTCTGTCTTTGCTATCCAGCATACAAGCTAGATATTTGTTGATTAATTTTATCTGTGTGTTGTCTTTGTTTGAACTAACCATGGTAAAATGTAAGCAGCTTAAGCACTGGATTTCTGATAACAACTTACAAGGCGATTGAGTATGGAATTGAGTTAGGATGAATCCACATGGCTAGTGGCATTCTGTTGAATTGAGAATCTATGGGGGCATATACGCCTACAACCTGACAATTATCCTGCAGCTTTGAATGTTTAGCCCAGGTTACAGACCATAAGAATTCTGATATTACCTTGGCTCATTGTTTACATTCAATAATCCTATTAATAATCGGCCATGCTATCAAAATGCAACCCTGAAAAGCATTGTACTGGAAGCCATTAGTCTGTAATGGTATCGCAATTGCAACTAGTATCTCCACATTTGGGGTCCCTCGTTTTGGTTCCATTGTCTTTAGACCTAATTAGACCCAATATTTTCTGATGCATTTGTACTCTGTGAGCTGAATTTTAATTTGGGTTGAATAAGAGCACTTATCATGAATGATGTTGGGAATGGAAATGATATGCCTAAGTGCTTGTTGCTGTAAGTTGTTTTTGGCCTTCTTGATGTTTCTAGGATGGAATTCTTCAAGATGACATAATATTCGTACATTACAAAGACTACTTTTATCATCTGAAATTAGTTTTACCTGCTAGAATTTGGTTACTAAATTGTATAGGTGCTGTACAAAAGCCCGGTCATACACTTAGTGGCTTAATTTTCTATTGCAGCCATTGTCCAAGTGCTATTAGACCATGACCCAGAGCTAAGCAAAACAGTTGGCCCATCAAATGCAACCCCTCTTATAACTGCAGCTTCAAGAGGACATACAGCTGTGGTTCATGAACTGCTGTCAAAAGATTGTAGCTTGTTAGAAATTTCTAGATCCAATGGGAAAAGCCCATTGCATTTGGCTGCCAGACAGGGGCATGTAGACATTGTCAAGGCATTGCTCGACAAGGATCCGCAGTTGGCTAGAAGGAAGGACAAGAAATGGCAGACTGCCCTCCATATGGCTGTAAAGGGGGTTAGCTGTGAGGTGGTCAAATTGCTTCTCGAGGCTGATGCAGCTATTGTGATGCTGCCAGACAAGTTTGGTAACACAGCATTACATGTAGCCACCAGAAAAAAGAGACCAGAGGTATATATTAGTTTGGTATTGGCATATGCCCTTGTGTGTTACATATGCAAGAAAAATAGACCTCAAACTATCTATTTCTTTTAAATGTTCAGTGATCTAATATCTTTTGCCTGAATTACACAGATAAATTGTTTGATCCTTTTCCATGAATAGCTTTCATCTTCTATGGAGTTTGCCCGAATATTTCAAGTTCGATTAGTGTACTTTTTTGCTCTGTATACTGGATATATATTATTGAAAAGAGGTTCAACAATATTTATGTATTTTTTGAAATGTGTGAATTTTATGTCTTGTGTGTACACCATTGTCTTGGTTTGTCTCCAAGGCTTTATTTTCTGTTTCTGTACTTGGAAGTTTTTGATATTACGCATATAAAGCCGTATAAATGCTAATCTGAGGTGAATTTTTTTCTGTGTTGTTTTTGGGTTTCTCGGTTTTCTGGTTCATCATGAAG